GCAACACGTACATGAGTGTTAATATTGCCTCGTTCTCCTTCTTCTCTCCCTCCTCCTTCTCCTCTTCGTAGATACTAGTCTATTGTGTTTACCGATGCCATTCGGTGATACCAACGACACTACGCCATCCAATAATCACTCATCATTAATTAGCGGTATCGATTATTCGTCTCGACAAGAAATCATCGCTGGTTCCGTTATGCAACCTTTTTCTTCCCGAAGCAATCGCCGAGCGTTGCACGGCGAGTGTATAACGTCGGGGATCGTAGGAGAGCGTAATAATCAGCTGAAAATAATAAGTGACGCGAAGGAGTGCGGTCCAGTAACAATGATTACCGCTACCTGACTTTAATTAGACGAGACTCTCGAGCCGAGAGTGGGAGAGAGAAAGAGAGAGACATAGAGAAGCAGATATCCTTCGACGATCGCCTCATCTGGGAGGCGTACCAGTCACGAGCGTTTACGTAAAGATCCCGACCGTGAGATCTCGGCGTGCTGGCACGCCGGCGAAACAATGCGCCGTTAATTTGCGGATTAATTCGCCATCGCGAACAGTTATACGACGACGGCCGGCTCGAGTTTCGTCCGGCCGTTAATCGATCGCGTGAGAGTCACTTCGCGCGAGGACGACGACGAAGAGAGCTGTGCGAAGAGAGGACGACTAAATACGATTGGCGTACTCGCTCACTTAGCGACGGGGCACGTACGCGGAAGAAGAAGAAGGGCCGCGATCGTTTAACCATCAGTTTTTCATGTCATTACCACGCCGAACTGTCATTCTGAACGTGCATACGCATATTTAGTTACCGGGCATTCCAATTAGATTCTTTCCGTCGCGCGCACCTTACGAGAAGGCGTAGGACGGGTGTGTACATGCCGCAGTACGGCATGTGCTGGTGTACAACCACCGACGGCTGCGAGAGAGCGCGGGGAGGCTAAGGCGCTGACCTTCGGAAGGTCATCCGTCTTGCGGCGATGTACGATATGCTTCCGTGTGCCGTCCCGTGGTAGCGCCCCGGGATCCCGTGACGCTCGCTAAAGGAATATTGACCCCGCCAGAGCGACGAATTGAATCATCATTACCTAACAAAGCGTGACGGACGAGCCGATAGAAATAATTACTCGGTAGTGACTGATTTAAAAGTCGTTTTAATTGCGCGAAAGCTCCGTGTCAATTCTCACGTAAATCGGTACCTGCGATCGTATCGCCACGTCGCTTCGAGTCACGTCGACGGGAGAAAACCCACTTTGATACACGCATGGACGCACTCGACATCTCCAATGCGAGGGAATCTAAATTAAGGCTTGAGTTTCTTCGTTGGACGTCGGCTGCATTCCGGAATGTGTCGAAGAAAACGTGCATTGAAAAAAAAATACTGACAGATTTATTTGTGAAATATAAAATTCACTTCTGGGAAAGAAAGTTGATTTCTGTGAAATAAACTTATATCCCACAAATAAATGTTCAAGTATTTTTTTCTCAGTGCATTCAAGCCGTTCTACATGGCGAGGATTTTATATGTAAGTTAATGCATGATTTTAAAGAATAAATTAACATTCTGCAGTAATTTATTGTCCTTTCATTTCATATATGTTATCTATATATTTCAGGTACTAAAATTTGTTATTAAAAAAATTTGCTACATCAAGAGAAACATACGTGAAGGTTGATGCGATATGTAAAGTTTATTCAACGAAATAAACTTTATGTGCTGCAAATGAATTTTCAAATATTTCTTTTTCTCAGTGTATTCCTCTGCAAGATAAACCTTGCAGACAGTATCTTTACAGTAACAGTAATAGTGACACAGTAAAAAAGAATTTAAAAGAATTTGTGTAGTAAAAAAAGCTATAACATTCTCTTTAAGCGTGGACGATTAACACCGGTGATATTATCTTTCTCTACCTGGGAATCGCGGCCGCCAACCGGAAACCGACAAGATCATCACCGACGCATCCTCTATGCGTAACGTTGCGTCGTTCTTTTCCTTCGTACCTCTTCTCCTGTTCGTTTTTTTTTTTTTTTTTGTTATTTTCATTCAACGTCGGCGCAGGAGAAAATGACAGTCACGCGTCGGTCGTAAATGCAAGGCGCATCGCGGCGAAGAGACGGAGCGCAATCGCGATATCGCCCGATGAAATTCAAAACGCATCCACCGTACAGAGTCCGCGTAGTCGCGCGAATATTTCATAGCGACCCTTGACCTTCGCGCCGGCTGAGAGCGAAAAGGTATTAATGGGGATCTCTCCGCGGGAAAGACAATGAAGCGCTTCGTGCCTCGCCGCTATAATCTGTGTTCCACGAGTCAATAATCATTTCACGCTGGAACAACAATTACGGAGACAATGACACTCGCGCACGAGTCCGCGACGCGGTTTCTCCCCTAAGCACAGACATTAATATTCTCGTATTCCGAGCTAATTATCAGATGCCTGAACGCGCGCGAGGCTAGCTGTGCGAAAGTGCGCGCTAACGAAGCGCAAAAAGGCTCGTGAAAACTCGTGGTCTGTCTTTGCGCTAAATGTTTCAAATGTCGCAAAATCAAAATGTTTTAATTGTAAAAAATATTTAACCCTTTACTGCACACTGTGACTATTGAAGTCACAAATCTATTTTGGGAAAATAAAAAATTAGAAAAGTAAAATTTCACTTCTTGCATGTGTTGAATATTTTGGTTTTTAAACATCCTATATACAAAAGCTTATATACAAAATCCTATATACAAATTTTTTAAACATGAGAAATTAATTTAGGCAGTAAAGAGTTAAAAAATTTAACAACGCAAAATAGCTAAAGTTTACTTTCAATAATATCTAAAAATTTGCCTCTAAATATTTCTAGAAGATACTTTGGAAATTTTTTAGAAATGTGAAAAGAGGAAAAAGAGGAAACAAGTTCAACCTAAAGTTCAGTATTCTGAACTTTAACGTCTTATCGATCTTTGAGACCATACCTTATCGCCCACAAAACGCGGCTAATAACAAATATTTCTCACGTAAACGAGATAAACTATCTCCTCGGATCAGCGAGGCGGTCACGTAGGCTAGCGCGAGATCTCTTATTCACTATTAGAGACGTACCTTCTGCTCACCGATGTCAAAGGCTCACCGAAATTTTAAATGTAAAAGCTCAAGCTGTCAGAATAATATTTATCTAATCCGAAAGTTCTGCAGCTTGTACATACCAAAAATGTAGATACTCCAAACAGAAAAACATAGCTGTATTTACGCATATCCGAAAAGTTTGTAGAAAACTTTCTATACATGTGCGTGATTAGATTTTCCGCCGAATATGATAAAAAAAAGTAACACACATTTATGTAAGTTCTGTATATACGGAAAAGATAGCGTGATTTTGTTAGTGACAATCGTCTCTGCGTTATCGACATTTTTCGAGTTTGTTATCGACTGCAGCATCCCTTTAACTGATTTGAACGTCGCCTATGTGGCTCGCTCAAAATGACAAAACTCGTCGAAACTAGTCTGACGCGAATCGTAAACGCGTAGGTCCAAGCGAGTAGGATACTTATTTACGAATACAGTTATGAAAACCGAGCGGCGGGGAAACCGAGTTTCGCATCTTCGATTCGGGACAGCCGATCATTGTTACGTAACTCGCGCGTAGCGGTCCATCGACGGAGATTCGCGGAAAGTGGCACGCCATCTGCTCCCGGCGAGAACATATGGTGAACACAGAGAATAAAGTATACAGAGAGAGAGAGAGAGAGAGAGAGAGAGAGAGAGAGAGAGCACGATTTGTTTGAGTCGTCCTGTCTCGATACCTATAATAACTCGATATTAACTGTTACGCACCCGCGCGCGCGTCTTTGCAATTGCGTCTTGGACGACCGACAACGACGATGATATCCCGATAGCCGGTACGGACCGCCTCGGTCGCGCGCGGTTATGGATCTTGGCATTCCAGTTTGTTCGGGCTCGCGAACGTGTACTCCGCGACGAGGGTTACGCACCGTTACCGGTCACAGGTCTCTCGAATTCAACGTGAAATTCCAAATTGCCGGGTACTAACGCACCGTAATTGATTATACGCCGCGCGTGTAGCGCGCGAACCGCAAATTACGCGGACAAATATCGCGGCTGTCGTGCCCTTGACGATCGCGCCGGACAGATTTGCAGTCGAGATCAAAAAATGACAGAAGAAACTCCAAGAGAAGAAAGAGAAAAAGAAAAATCCGAGGACCCCCGGACGAGAAGTACCCGACTAGAAATTCACCTCCCACGGTCCCGATCGTGCTTGGTCTCAATTAGCTACTTACTTTGTACAAAGCGATGTTATCGGGTATCTCACTATTAATCATTATTAATAGAGTCCTGATTGCCACGTTACGTTATATGACTTATCAGAACCCGGTAGCATTACTTTGTACAAACTGGATAACTGATCAGGATCAACCTGATATTGAACGAGGTTGATTTCTAGTCGAGTAATGTCCAACAGCGGCTAGAAGTAATTATTCTACGATACTTTCCACGCTGTTAACACAAACACACATTCCTTTAGCTGCAGGACTAGAAAAGAAATCTAGGTGGGATAAATGGATCGAGGAAAAATATTCTCAACGCCCAATGACCACGCAGATCGCTCCATCCGGCGGTCGAATGTCGCTCGTAACGTCGAAACAGCTGTTTCTTCACGGCGTGCGACCTCCAAGACACGGATTTCGCTGCACGCGAGATATCGGGAAATCGCGGGCGGGAGGACGAGCAAGCAAGCAGGCAGGCAGGCAGGCAAGCAAGCAGGCAGGCAGGTAGACTGACGAACGGACATGAGCGCGCGGAAACAGAAGTTCCGCGGCGATCGTGGCAAGGGAAGAGTCGCAGCTGGCTCGAGGAAGGTAGAAAAAGAGACACCGTCACCGGCCACTCCGTTGAGAGAGATTCCCGAGAGAGCACGCGAGCCTGCGCGATACAGTTTATTTGAACTGCGGGGATCCCGAAGTGGGGAGACACGACTCGGGGAGTTAGAGCGCTCGACCGCGTCTCCCGTGGTTTGCGCGCTTTAGTCGCGCGATCTCGTCCGAAGCGTCGGGCCGCTCCTTCGTCGCGCTCTCGCACCTACGTCTCCAACGATCGATCGATCGATCGATCGATCGATTGGTCGGTCGGTCGGCCGTGCCCCGCGCTTCGAAACCTCCTCCGCCACGAGTGTTCGCGCGAGCCTCGCAGAAAATTGCGGTCTGCGCGCGCGCGCGCGAGTATATCGAGAATCGCAATTTTCTTATCGAACACGTGAGACGCGGCAGGATTTCGATTTTGATCCGCGCGCCTCAATGTCGACGTTGACACTCGCGAGGACACTCGGCTTCTCCTGCGCGTCGCGACTCGAACGGCCGAGCGTCCACACACGACACGTCGATCTCGTTCATCGCGCGCGTGAGTGAGACAGAACGTGTTCGAACAGTCGCGTATGCACGGATACGACAAGGCGGGGATAAGTTTCGGACGATGGACGAGGTGAGTGGCAGGAGCGTGGTGAACGGACTCGAAGCTGAGGAATTCTATTTGCACGAGATTGTGGTCGCGGGAAATACCCGAGGATGACGCATGTTCGACGGTGGTGAAGTGGAGCATCGTGAGACATTCCAAGTGGACCTCGTCGGCGATAATCGTTTTCTCTTACTTTCGCTCGCGTCTCCCGATATGGAGTAACGTACGGAATAATTGCTCATCAGCAGAGGTAATAAATGAAGGTGCAATACTCCCTTCAAGTGAACCCGTAAAAATGCTTCTGATTGAGTAACATAAAAACACTAAAGAGATTGATTCACCGATTACCAGTGAAAATTCACGGATTTCCAATGAAAGCAATCCTACCTTACTGCTTGTTTCTCACTGATTTTGAGATGGAAGTAAGATTTCACTGCTAAATTTGTGATGAACCTACTAGTTATGTCATGCCAAATCCACGTTTTCGCGCTTGCGACGACGGAATTAACGGCTTAAATACGCTTTGCACGCAATGACACTGTCCGCGTTCGCAAAGTGCGTTAATATTATGGAAATAGGCGCTACTATTAACTGACCCAATCAGCGAGATTTTACTTGCTCATTGCGGTGCTATTCTTATAACTAAATCACCAATTGTAAGCATAGCGTTTCCGTGAAGAATACATTGACTGTGCTTTAATGAAGACAATTGCAATTACGATACTTTTTAAGCACAGCTGTGACCCATCGTTGAGTCTCATCTCTCATTAGGAATCAGTCACTTTCGAAATCTGAGGTTTCGAGCTCTAATTTGCAACGTTCTTCTGCGTGAAGTTCGATCGATAATTACCGATGAACCGCGACATCGCAACAAGCGAACGATTTGCTTTCATCACGCGGAAAGTAATTCGAGGGGCTCCTTCTCATCGGCTTAAATCAGAGGCCCGAATAAAAAAAACTTTGTTCCTGGTGCACTTAATTAATTAATTATCAAACCGTTAGAAAGTTGCGCGCGCGCGCAGGAACTTTCATAAGCTCGATTAAAATCGCGGCGCGGATTACGCGTTCGCCGCGCGTTGCGCCGCGCCAGCACGATAGGTCTTCTGTATATAGGAAAAATTACGTCAGGGACGTCTGCAACAACCGCCGCCGTGGAAAACGTAAAACATTTCCAAGCTTAGAATGCTTCGCTAATGGGCGAATTGCTAAATCCCCGCACTTTCACTTCGCACGATCTATTATGCACTCGAACGCGGCGCGCTGCGCCGCGGCGCGGCGTCGCGCTTTTTAGCTTTGACTTCACCGCGTGAATGCGACTTAATTACCCGATATTGCGGGAATATCCCGCGCGACTCGTTTCTCCAAGTGGGCCTTACTCGTTTTATTATGTACGACGAGACAAACGCTCTTTTTGACGGCTGTCGTGACGTGACGAGTGTCATCCTTGTAAACGTGCACAATGGCGGGAGAACACGAAATCTTCGGGCGACAAAATCGAAAAGTCTCGAAAGGAAGCTGGTCTCATCACATATACATACATACATACACACACACACACACACACACATACATGCGTGTACACACGACAGTCTCTCGGAGTCGCCGCGAGAGTCGCTTTGAGAGTTTCAGTTGAAACGTATTATTGCTCCCCGTTGCAAGTGTATACGCGTACACAGTACTTGAGGAGCGGAGAGTGCGGGTGAGAGTGGGAGGAAGAAACACGATTTCTGAAAAAGATCGCGACGTGTACACGCGGAATAGCAATTGAACGGTTCGCGCAAGGTGCATACTAAGGGGGCGACGGCCGGACCTCCGTAGAGCAAACACGCGACTGTGGACGCACGTTCTCTCGGGGGAGGAACACAAGTGAGGAAAAAGAGAAAGAGAGAGAGAGAGAGAAGGGAAGGATATATGGAAAAACAAGGCTCTATTAAGATGCACACGCGTAGTCGGCCACGTCGTAATAATTCGCAATACCTTCGTCACGGTCGCTTTAGTCACGGGTAATTAAAAGCCCATCACATGGCGATTACAGAAGTCTCGTAGATGGAAACATTCTATCGTGAGTAACGAGGAGACCGACTTTACCCGGGGTTCCCAACGCGGAAACCTCGGCTTCGAAGAGAAAAAGAGTACCACCGCCCTCTCTTTTGTGCGCTCTCTTTCTCTTCTCTCCTTCTCTCTCTTCATCTCTCATGCGTATTCACGACCGGAAACGTGGATAATGCCGGGAGAGTCGGTGCGCATCATATCTTACATATGTGGAATATTAATTCTCGTCATTCGCATGCGATGTGCACAATATCGCCGCGAACTACGCGCAGCGTAGTGGAATGTCGCAGATGCAAGTCACCCAAGAAAGTGCATTATGAACTGCGCGCACGACGACGGGGCGGTAAATAAATTATGCTCGACGACGGACGTCGCTCTCGCACAGCCGGTAACAGACACGAATCATCGTTCCTAATTACGTGAAAATCCCCAGGAACACAGCGTAGTAGCGCGTAGTATGAAAATGGAGACCAAAACGGGATGAATTGATTCCAGAGAAAGTGCAGTGTCTGAGCGTTCTGGAATCGCGGAAAAGTAAAACCGCTCCCGGGGTGCGATTACACGGCATGACTCGATCGATTGACTAAAAACCGCAGCAAGACTCGCGCGCAGATTTTTCAAGATTATCGATTATTAAACATGAAAAATTACAAAAAATTCAATAAAATATCGTAGCAGAAAATTGAATATAGCAAGAGGATTTTTGGGCTACAATCAAAATCGAAAAAGTATTCAACTAAAGCCAACATACAATTGTTTTATTGCGATGAATAAAATCACTATGGGTTCTTCCTATAGTGGGAGGAAAATCAGTCATTTTAGAGTGTTAATAATTTATCCAAACGTTTTGTGGTATACATTTTGTGCCGAGTACACGGAAAGAATGTTATAGCTTTTCTCAGAAAAATTATTTTTACTGTTTTTAGCAGTCCTAAGACTAGTTTTAATAGAATAGACTACCGTCGATTAAGGTCTATCTTGTTAAGGATTGTAAATAAATTTCGCTCAGAACATAGCACATTGCAGTCTCTAAAATAAAAGTAACAGCACATTTCGACCCCCCAAAAAAAGTAATAGCACATATGAAATGAACATAGTGACAAACTGATTGTAAAAATTGATCTGTAATGATCATATTCATTCCATCTCAAACAACTGTGCGTTTTTACTGAATCTCACACTTTCGATTTTCGTCATAGAGTATCATCAACAGTCCGATTCACTGCCGCGGTCACGTTCCGCGACCGATCATTCGTCGTCTCTTGTCTTCCCTGCACTGTGTGCGCTCGTCGTATTTCTCCCGTCGCGACATCAAAGACATCTCAAAGAGAGACGCGACGTTTCGCAACAAGTGACAGAAAGCGAGGTCGCGTTGCCATTCCGCCCACGTTCCCCCGCGAACACAGAAAGCCGTGCTCATCTGAAAGACAAACACCGGTGGCGACACACCGATACGCCACGGACAGATAATCGTCGTCATAAATTCATCATCATCATCATCATCACCAGCGTCATCGCCGGGGCGCCCGGAGCGTAATCACTCATTAGTCCGTGCGATTCGCCACCGGCGGCATCACTGTCAAGGTGTGCCTCCCGGGGGAATGACGAATTCCATCGGGGATGCGGGTGTAGGTTGAGGTTGCGGGTGCAAGGCACCCGAGGGAGGATGGCGAGGACGAGAAGGAAAGAGGTAGAGAGAGAAACGCGCACTTTGCGCTCCGATGTCGCCGGATGCATACCATTACGCGAGCAGGAAACGCACAGCTGGTCACGCGTGCTATCGCGAGAATTTGCCGCTCGACTCGTAGCGCTTACACGCTACATCGAGCCCGTATTTGCAACTTCTTCGTCGCGAATTGCGACTTGCATTCTGAACTTATTATACAGGAATCGAGACCGTTTGATTCTAATATCCTTGTTTACCGTTGCGTCAGTCCCCGTCAATATTAGCGAATCTCACTAACAAGTAAACCTACCCAAGTGTTACACTCCGATTTTGATAAGCTTTTTAACATGCTATAGTCTAGGTCTAAATAAGAGACACATATTGTTTGATACATGCCCGTGCGACCGGTAAGAGGGTGAAACACCCTCTTGACAAAAATCAATTTTATTATTTCTGAGCGAATGTTATCGGAACGGTAAATAATACAAAAAAAAGTTTCAAACAAAAGTTTTATGGGTTTTAATGAGCTTTATAACTTATCATTCATCACCACATTTTATCAGATTTTACAAAATGAAGGAGGAAAAAAGGGATTTCGAAAAAAGTGATATTTGCGAAAAATCTGAGTGCATTGTTATAAAGCTCATTAAAATCCGTAAAACTTTTATTTGAAACTTTTTTGTATTATTTATCGTTCCGATAATATTCACACAGAAATATTAAAGTCGATTTTTTTCAAGACGGTATTTCACCCTTTTACCGGTCGTATGGGCACGTATAAAATATGTCTCTTATTTAGATTTAGACTGCAGCATATAAAAGTTCATCAAAATCGGAATGTAACACTTTGGTAGGTTTACTTGTAAATATAATTAATCACACCTCAGAGATCGAATAGGAGGCCAGTCAGAAAAAATAAAATATCTATTTATAAAAATATTCAACATATTTTTAGTAATTCAATCGTCAGTTGAATTTTTATACATATAAAAGACGTTTAGTAGTAAAAATTATATTAAATTATATTTTTTCACAATGTCGCGTAAAGCTAGACTAAAGAAACATTAAATTTAACGATCTGTCTCTATTGCGTATACGATATAAAAAACACCTCAATAATTACAATAATTCTATAGTAAAAGGTCGCATGATAGTTTTTAACAAATATGCGGAAATTTCGATCATAGTCAAAGATTACAAAAACAAATTTTGTTGCAAGTTTTACTACAATATTTGCTCCGTGTGCATTCATTGAAAATCACCGCGAGGCTCAACACGTTAATATCTTGACAGCCACATTAATTCTCGTTGATGATACAAAAGCTTAATTGACGATTGAATTGATATAATTACGATAACAAAATGTGACTCGAAACGCACATATACTTTACTTTCCATTGACTCTCTATTCATCGTACACATCTGTTTCTTCAAACACAATTGATTGTACTCAGTATTCAACATGTTGAATCGTTTCTTTTGATTAAAGAGATCTATGGTATAGATTAGTTAGATGTAGCTGATCTCTTCTGAATAATCTAAAAATCTAACACAGTCTCACGCGACAATTTCTCTTCGCGTCAGGCGACGTCTCGTGTCTTCGCCGAGCAGGCAGATAAACGGCCATCGACGCTCACGGGGACGTAATACTTGAGAGCGGAAAAATCGATGCAACAAGGCGAAGGAATCGGCAGGAGATCGCGCGCAGGAAGTGTGTGCGGGCTACCGTGAACGACGAGGAGAGAGATAACGAGACCGCGGCGCGATGTCGTCGAGTGGTGAATTTTCGACATTGTCGAGCGGCGAGGCCACCGGAACCGGCGAGGACTCGTTGCCGAGCTCAAGAGAAGCGACCGCCGAGGCCGCGGGTTCCGGCGGCGGCTTCATGCCGCTGCGCGAGTTCCTGGACAGATTCTCACTGCCGAGGGTGGTCAGGGTCGAAGGTGCCGGCGGTAGGCCGATATTGCTGTACAAGCAGCAGCAGAGATCGCTCCGAGTCACGGCAACGCTGCTGATGCATCGTTACCGTCACGACGTCAAAGTGGGACCGGAAATAGTCATCCCGGAAGGTTATCCCGGTGAGTACAATCTCTGATATTTTACTACATGGCCCTCCGCTTCTCGTACACACGAAGAGAATATTGTAGTAAAGATTGCACACAATTTTTGCCATCTCTTGGACCATATAGAGGTTCATGACCGAAATTATTATATATTTATATACGTAAAAATATTATTCGATCTTTTATTATAAAAGTACTGTAATTATTTGAGTATTTTGTTGCAAAATACGAAATAACTGAATTATATTACGAAAGTTTACAATTCTTGTGCAATTACGTTTAATGCGTAAATAATACGTCATATTTATAACGAAAATTACAATATAAATATAGCAAATTCGAAGATGTAACTCATAAAATCACAAGCATTATTATTTGTATTTAAACATAACTTTTAATGTCTATAACTTGTTTTAAAATATATACGTCAAAGATTGTAATGAACGATGAATTGCGATAATGTGCGAATTCCTATACTAATAAGTAAACCTATCCAAAAGTTACACTCCGATTTCTTTCTAATTTGGCATAAATGTAGAAGTAGAAAAAATATTTAGGCCATATTTTTTCATTTTGGTCCACTTTGAGTTTCACAGGCAGTTTATAGCTTTTTAATGTTCTCACTCCTATCATCGACAAGTGCAACAAAAATGCATAAGAAATAAAATTGAATACAAGATATAAGCGTTTTTGGTTTGCTGATTATGAATATAAAGTTAAACGTGTAAAATTATTTGTATAAATAATGAAATGTTGAAATAAAACATGTAAAAAGTTGAAAAAAAATTATTTATACAAATAATTTTTCGGTTTGGCCGAGATTCGAAAACATTTTTGACTAATTTAGCACAGATTTAAAATATTTCGGTTGGAATCTTGGCTAAAGAAATTTGGAATCAGCTATGCCGATTTTATTAAAACTATTTAATTAATTTAATCTTGTATTCAATTTTATTTCTTCAGTTTTATTTTCTATTCAATTTTATTTCTTATACATTTTTGTTGTATTTGTTGATGATAGGAGTGAGAACATTAAAAAAAAGCTATAAACTGCCCGTAAAACTCAAAGTGGGCCAAAATGAAAATTATGACCTAAAATATTTAATTATATTTTTTGTACTTCTACATTTGTGCCAAATTAGAAAGAAATCGGAGTGTATCCTTTAGGTAGGTTTACTTGTAAGAGAAATTGTCTGATAAAAAATTAACAAACGAATATTTCAAATCTAATTCCGATCAATTTTTATATCCGATTAAATTTAATCGGACACTTCCGATCATGGTGGCATTTTATTAGATAAACCGATCAAAAAACCAATATTTCTCATCGGATGTTTCCTGATTGGATACAAAAATTCACGGTATTTTGATCGGAAATATCCGCTTGTTAATTTTTTATCGAATAATTTCTCTCAGTATAATACAATTTCATCGAAACGAAAACCATTTTATTATAGCCGGGAAAGGTGATTATTATTTTGATCGACTTGCGAAAAATTATTCCACAGGAGGCAACTCCAATTTACTCGCAAAGGGACCATGATCATATTCAATCTGACATCTCCTTTTCGAAATACGTGCGACAACGCGCAAGGAGGACAAAGATCTTGTGTAATTAATGAAAAATGCGATTATAACGAGCGGCGGCCCGCGCGAAGACGCTCGCCCGCACGGAATTAAACCGCTCGTCGCATTCCGGCCTTTGACTCGGCGTATCGATCACGTCATGCGCGATGATCGATTGTGCTAGCGGAATCGTATCGGAAAGCCGATCTGGAATTAAAACGATTGCGGCGCGTTGCGTAAGAGCGTACACACGCGCGCGCACGACGGTGTTGGGAGCGATCTGTCGGCTGAGATTTTTCGAGGCAGCCGCGAGGGATTTTAACTCCTTGCCCGCGCGGCGAAAAGTATCGTTTATCGTATCGTTCATTTATCATGCGCGGCAATTTATCCACCTTGGTCAGGCGATTGAAGGAACACGACGGAATCGCGCGCGACGAATCGTATTTTCTACTATTTACATTACTATTTACATTACTGCTCCCTCTTTTTGTCTGTCTCTCTCTCTCTCTCTCTCTCTCTCTCTCTCTCTCTCTCTCTCTCTCTCTCTCTCTTTTTCTCT